CAGCCAAAGCCCTTTACAGACACCAGTTAAGCCTCATCCTCTGCGCACAGCAGGTAAGGGATTGCTTCCCCCAGCCTGAAAAGCAGCCACCTCTGGGGTGGGGCCCGGCCACTGATTAACAGCCCACAGCATCACTGCCCATCCCGCAGCCCACTGACATGGGCGCAGCAGGATTCACATGGAATTTGGGCAGCGTGTCGGACACAAGACCCCGACTCTCACGAAAAGGGTCCCGGGATCTCCACCACCAGGCCAGGAGCTCGGTTTCACGCCCTCCCCCAGAGACCGGCTTCGGCTCAGAGGGAAGCGCTCTCCTGACTGAATCGCCACCGCGTGTTTCCACGTTGGCCCCCCGCCGCGCCGCTCGCCCAGGCTGCAGAGTTACCTGCTCAGGACCTGACTGGAGAACAGAACGGGAGGAGAGACAAGCCGCCCCGTCTGGCTCGGGAGCTGAGGGGTCAGGGCCTGCAAATCCGCCAGCAGGGTTGCTGCCAGGGCACGGACCCCCACCCTAGGGGGCACCCCGCTCCACCCCCAGCCCCAGCCAAGGCCAGACACGACAGTGGCGCTTTCACTCGACTGGGAAATGCACCATCTGGAAAGACACAGATGGGGCGGGGGGATGACAGGACTCGCCTCATCGGGGGTGGTGGTGTGTGTGTGTGTGTGTGTGTGTGTGTGTGTGTGTGTGTGTGTGTGTGTGTGTGTGTGTGTGTGTGTGTGTGTGTGTGTGTGTGTATTTCAGAGCCACACACCCTGGCTTATGGGGACAAAGGAGCGTCGTGGGGGGAGGGCAAGACAGCAGGTGACCAGAGGTGCCGGGGTCAACATGTGCGGGGCGGGCAGAGGGGGGGATGTATGGGCCAATTCTTATTTATTTATAGCCCTGCCAGCAGGCCCTGGCGAGAGCCGGGGTGCACACAGCACTGGGAGACGCCGGCTCCCTCCCAAGCCAGCAGGGAGCAGCCCAGGGACCCCTGCCAGGCACAGCGGAAGCCAAGACCCGGCCTCAGCACACGAGTCCCTGACCACACGGGGGTTTGTGCCCGGGAAACGCAGCGCGTCAGGCCAGATCCAGGGGTCTGCAGACCCCCCAGGGGAGTCATGTGTGAGGGGGGTCCCATTGGCAGGGAACACGCTACACCCCCCCAACGCACAGCCAAGGATACCCATGCCCCCACGGCACAGAATACGCCAGCCTGTCGCCCACAAGCCCCACGCTGAACCTCAGTGCTGGGCTGCTCCCCATGGAGCGCAGCTTCTGCTCAGAGATGCAGGGCCGGCGGGGGGCAGAGGGTCTCCTTCCCAGCTCTCGCCAGAGCCTGCAGCCCCCTTCCCCCATTCTGTGCCCAGACGCCCCCTCAGCTCCTGCCCGCCCCAGCTCACAGGATGCCGGGCAGCCTGGCTCCATCTCATGCAGCCCCCAGCACGGTGGGGGGACCCCCAGGGATGGGACGGGTTCGGCCTTTGGTAAGACAACTCCTCAGGGAGGACAAGGACGGTGCTGGGTCAGGCAGAGAGGCCACTAGGCAGCTCTCCTGCCACAGGCTCTGCCGGGGGGGAGGGGGGGGGCCTGGTGTTTCGGCCCCATCTCCCTGCTCCTCCCCCCGGCCTCCTGACATCCGGCTCTGGGCTCGCTGCACAGCCCGGGGAGGGAAACACCATGGTGACGACACCGCGCTTAGCGACAGCACCCGGGCAACACTCGGGAGATGCTGGTCTCTGAGCCCAGCTCCTGGGGGGCGGTGTTCTCCATGGCAACCACAACACAGCAGCGATGTAAACAAACCAAGAGGGGCCCTCCCCAGCGGGACGGGGTCTCCCCAGGGGATGCACCAAACACAGCAAAGCTGGTGCAGGAGGTTCGGGCCCTGGCTCAAGCAGCGCGGGGAGGGGGGAGGTTGCGGGGGGGGCTGTTGGGGGCCTAGGAGTTGGAATTCAACAAACGCTGTCCCTCCCACACCACGTGCAGGGGGGGCCAGGGCGCATGGGTCTGCCACGCCCGGGGATGGAGCCGTGGCTCGGAGCCGGGCACTGCCCCGCGCCGGAAGGGGGCGCCCGGAGCCG